CTTGGTTGTGCTTCGCGCTTGCGGATACAAGCCCCAGGGATCGCCATGCTTTTTGGAGGCCCTTGCCGCTGTCGCTTGCGATCACGTGATCGTTCTTTCGGACCTTATTCTAGTAGTGGCGCGTTGTCTTTCTCCACTCATTCTATGAGAGGGGCTTCGCGACGAGAACCCTTGCTTCCTGATCAAGGTCTGTTGCAATGGTTTCCAGAGTTCTCCAGGGCAAAGATGCACCAGCTTTCGCGGTCAGAAGAACATGGGATACCAGAGGTTCCACAAAATCGTGCCACACGGCTTGGCACAGCAGGTTATGCCAGCCGTAAAGCTCACCCCAGCCCACTTCCCAGAAAGGCCGCAAGCATGGCGGAGGTGCCTTGTTGCCTAGTCTCAAGACTAGAACATTGGACAAGGCTTCCAGCAGAGCAAAGGACGGTACTTATACCTCCTCTGATGGCACCGTGGCAACATCAAAAATGCAAAGCTCGGAACCCCGCTTTTGACACCCCTTACAGCACCTGCCTCTTCCAACTCCTACTTTCGAAGAGGCAAGAGCGCGAGCATAATGAGCAGCGGAAACTTCAACAACAGAAGCTTAATCTGGGCAACGGAACCTTCTTCCAAATGTTCAAAACCACAAGTCTACTGCGCCTGCCATGATTTCGTGCAATCTGGATACAGTACTCTCAAGACATATGCAGACCCATGACTGCGATTTGCTCCACCACTGCTCCCTACCCGCACGCAGACGCAAGGCAAACGTCCTGGACGCTTCCTAGTTATAGTATTAGTGCTCGTGCCAGTATTGGAATTAAGGGCAGCGATCAGCGCCGAGGCCATGTGTGCCAAAAGGGGTGGACGCGTTCTTCATACTGGACGATGTGACTAGGTGCTCCATGGCAATCCAACTTTAGTGGGGACTATTAAGTGGTCACCCTATCCAACTTCTGAAGTGCAAGAGGAAGGCGGCCAATGCCGAGAAGCTGGAATTCTGGCGACGACGTGGATGGCTCCTCGGCACCTTCTGAGATGGCCCGCAAAATTGACAGAAGTCCCCTAAAATCGCCGCCTCCTCTAATGTAGAATATGTCCTGGCGTCGTCCGAGTGGCTTTGGGGGACATATTCAAAGGGTAGCTGGGAGAAAGGCCCATACCGTACGCCTGGGATAATGTGGTACATGTTGTTACCTATTGCGGCTGATCTCCCGCAATGGCTGATGGGAATGTGTCATCGAACATCAGGAGCAAGGAAGCCCAAGGCTCATCCTCCTCACAGACCTCAGGGCCCTCGTTCCATGCATTATAGATTGCGTCACTAAGGTGGATCCTAACCATGCTGCCCACAATGGGCGGCACCAGCGAAGTTCCTACTGCTGCTTTGCAGCAGCTGCAGGGGCTGATTTTGGATAGGGGTCCTAGGGCAGGGGGTCTCCATGAATTACAGTCCCTCTTGGGTAGGCCGTATTGTAAATGTACTCCGGGGTATATGTTTCGGGTAATTTGGCCGAATGATTCCAATGGGTCCATAGGTGCAGTCCTGAAAGGCTGGACCTTGCTAATTTGGCCTGTCATGCCAATTCTTTGGATTAGTCGTTTGCCCCATATGGGGCATTTCCCAAAATTAGGGGTCCTGTTTTGGGGGGTCCCACACTAAGGATAACAGTATTTTAGGGTTCATATAGGGGTCGCCTTATTTCTGGAAACTACCATATATTCAATCTGCCTAATTAATCTTTGGTTCCTACCAGCCCGAATGCATGAGGTGTTCTGTTTACAAATCCATCGGATTGCTTGTTGGAACCTGCCAAACCTGAGAGTTTGCCGTGATCAAATGCCCTAAGCCCTGAACTCTAAACCCTGAAAAAGACAAGGGTCTTAGACTCAGCAGAGCAGACCTAAAAGCCCGTTAGGACCAAAAACACATTCGAAAGCACAACAAGAGTCCTTAACTCAGGAATCCTCTAAATAGCGACCCTGTGTCTCGAGTATAAGCATCTATAATAGTAGTAATACCAAGATTAGTGATAGCATGAAAATTAACAATTAGTGTCTTCCCCTTGTAATCCTTGTTGAATCCTGCGATCCTTTTCTTACAATATCCCATAATTGCACTTCGGCAACAGTAATTTAAGGTTCAGGCCAAGTCCCCATCCCCCTAGACTTTAACCCTAAAATCCTAAACCCTAAACCATCCTAAACCCTGAACCCGAAGCCCCTAAAACCCTATATAATCCATTATAGTAGTTTCCATTTTGTTTTCCATTATCCCTATATTACCCCCTAAAACCCTAAGCCCCTAAACGTTGAGCTTCTCACAGGATCGCTTCGCTGCCAAGACTTTGAAGTTCACTCCGCCCTCATGGCTGTTTAATGGCACATGGGAGCCTGAATCTACGAGATAGTAGGGGTTTGGGGTTTAGGGTTTAGGGTTTAAGGTCTAGGGCTTAGGGTTTAGGGTTTAGGCCTGAATCCACGTGATAGTATAGTGTGTTGGAGTTATATCGTAGTAATACTATAGTAAATTAGGGTTATATAGGGATAGTGGAAAAGAAAATGGAAACCACTATTTAGGGTCTAGGATTTAAGGTTTAGGCTTTAGAGTATGTGATGTCGGGTTTTGTTTTGGTTTTTGGTGAGTGTAAGTAGGGTTGCTTGGAAACATGGGTGAGTGTATGTATTGGGTAGACCGTGAATACAAAACATGCAGCATTCGTAGGATCCCTTTCTTGGTCAGAAAGTGAAAGCTGCAGATACCATGCCTTATACCTACAGAATCTGGGAATTTGAGGACTGGCTGGTTGAGTTTGATGGTGACATCTCCTTGAACATGGTGGGGCTGCGGCCACTAGTGGACAAATACAGCGCCAAATCGCTGGTCCTTCTGAAGTGGTATTGGAGAGACTGCCAACCTTGGGATTGCTTCATGTGGGAGTGTGAGGACATGCTGCAGAACAGGACTCTTAGTTGGAGCACTTCAGCCTTGAATTTTGTGTTTTCAAGCGACCACTGTGCACGACGTGTGAGGTGTTCGTGGCAGCCAAGGAAGGAATATGTAGAAACATCATACGATCGTGTCGTGAAGTGGAAAGAGCGGATGCAAAAGCTCCATGATGATCCGGCGCTTCTTGACAGAAATAGCAAAGAAGCAGTGTCAACAGGGTTACAGTGAGCATCCAAGTGGACATGACAGGCATCCTTTCGTCCCAGCGGATTACTACGAGCTGAGCGTGATGTTCCGAAACGTTGCCGCTCCATTTTGCAATAGCACCAACTCAATACAAAGATTCACATAGGGACCGTTTCTAGCAGCTCTTGCAGTTTACAGGTACAGGATGTGCGCTCGGACACTCTGCATTCTTACCCGGGCTGTACTCTGCAAGGCGCATGAGAGGGCTGGCGAGGTCGAGGACACATTCCGGCTCCTTGGCCCCTGGTTTAGGCCCGGCTTTCATAACCACATGAAACCACCACCTGGAAAAGCCACAGCGAACAATGATGTTGATGATACCCGCAGTCGTCCTTCAAATGGCAGCAAATCTGGGTAGACGAGAGGTTTTTGGCTTTTGGCAGCTCTTCTGGGTAACTGAGGCAAGTTCTGCAGCAATGCCGCACAATCCAACGAGACCAGTTCCTGATGCCTTTCTTTTTGTGGCTCCTGGGCCTTGTGCAGGGTAATCAGGGCGAGCCTCTTTGCCGGGGCTCAGCGTGTGTCATAATTGCCCACTGGTACGCGGCGTTGGGAATCTAGCGAGCAAGCCAAACCGAGATTGGAGGGAACAGCGTCCGAAGCCTCAAACAAGGAACTCCTCATTGGAGCAAGATGTTGCTACAATTCCGATTGCGACCTTGCAGCTTGCATGCAAACGCAGCGCTTGATGCTTTTTTCTGCACGGGCCAATGTAAGTCATAGCAGGGCCGAGAGCAACGGATGCGTCGGATGAGTAAGGTATTCTGATCTGCACTACTGCCGCGTGGACACGAGGAGAGCCAGAGTCCAAACTGAAATTCGCTGAAGCAGACACGGGTGTCGAAGAGGATGCGTGGTAAACGGTTGGTAAAGGGTTGACCTGTGTGCTCGTATCAGCTAAACATGACTAGCGCCGCGCAAGCCCAGGAAATCTGCTGGTGAACCAGGACAGACAGGGCAGAAATGCGACGGGCAGGAAAGACTCTGTGACTCGTCCATGTAGAGGGTGATTTCAAAGCTGGAGTTCCTCTCGACATTCGCGGTGGAGGTGTTTAGGGCCCTGCTACGAGCTTAGGACCAGGACCTGGATGCCCCAGCAGCTAGCCCAAGCGATTTCTTTCAAGAGATCAACCTTGAGCCACCACTTGTGAGCTGATGGGCTGCAGCGTCAGGGGTGAGAGTCTGCATGCTGAAGCAGAGATTCCTGAAGCATGCGCTGCGTACATTGTGTGTGTGTGTGCATTTTAGCACATGCAATGTTTCACTTGGGACGGGTGCGGCAGGTTAGGAAAACCTGAGGTTTTCCACAGGCCATGGCACGTACACACATGGAAGAGATATTGCGCAAGACTCATGTTGCAAAAAGGCATTGGAAAAGCGCCAGTATCATGTATTGCAGGAATGCCTTGGTTAAGAAGACTGGTTCTAAGTGGTAGTTTCCCAAAATAGGGGGACCCCGACATAGACCCCAACATACTATGATTCTTCTTATGGGGACCCCAACAATGGACGCCTAATTTCGGGAAACCCTAAATCCCTATCTAACCCCAGCTTCCATGTCATTTTCCATTTGATTCTCCATTACTGGCCAAAATGGACCCCTGATTTCGGGAAACTCTCAAGTCCTACTATAGACGGGGAGCCCCCAACAATGGACCCCCAAATTCGGGAAACTCTCAAGTCCTAAGCCTGCATAAAGCAGAGCAGCCTTGCAGGGTTGTTGGCGCCTGGATGGGCCTGAGATTCCTGGACCTCCCCATTTCAACTAGAGGCTAAACTCCTGAAAGGTGGGTTATCTAGAGGATTCTATAGGGGAGTAGTATGGGGGTTATTAAGGGGGATACTAGGACTTTAGACTCTAGCTCATTTAGCCTTGACGGAGGGAGATCGCGCGTGGTGTTTTCCACAAGGATGTAGAGGACAGCAGGGAAATGGCCATGATATGGATTCCTGCTTTCATGAGTGCTGAGCGATGTTTCTCACAGATTGCACTGACTTGCTCATTGCGTGCTGTCGGAGGGATGCACAAAATTATGCCCGCATGCCGCAGGCCATCCGGAACGGCTGCAGTCCCTGGGTGAGTCTGCTACAGCCGTCGCCCAAGATCAGAACTCCATTCCCCTGCTAGGATGCTCGGTGGCCTGCAGTCGGAGCAAGTCTTCCCAAGTCCAGCTACAACAACTTGCTGCTTGCAGGCTGCGGCTGATGGCCTGGAAGAGGCAAAGGCTGCCCTGGCAGAGGCGTGCTGCCGGGGAAATAATCTGGGATCTGCTGGCTTCTGCAGGCATATATAAATCTAGTTCGCTTTGCGGAGCACCGCTGCAATTCACGTAGTCCCTGTGCCCCTACGCCGCAGCTCAGCATTTGAGGAGGAGCAGCAGACACGAGACCTCCGAAGCGCAGTCCTCCACAGCCAAGAGGTCCTGGCAAAGCTGGAAGGCGTGTGAGCTCTCAAACCAATGCTACTTACCGCAAAGCAGGTGACAGCTGCGTACCCTTCAGCTTGTAGGGCATGTTCTCACTTCCAAGTGAGACAACCGTTTACCAGCTTGCCAGTGGTTTGCTGATCACTGTTCTTTGTCTCGCTGCATTGCTGAAGAGATCCTGAAGACACTTTGTGGTTTGGCAGGCCAGCTGGAACATCTGGAGGCCATTGGCTGCTTCAAGCCCTGCCAATTCCAACAGGAGTCGAGGGGCTGTTGTATTATCCGGCCATGCCGATGGCGCTGTGCGGTGTGCCCTGATGAAGCACACAAAGCACGCAGGGGTCACACGAATCTCGAGGCAGCCTGCGGCACGGCCAGCGCAGGCCGTGGGGCCCTCCGCCAGCGTGAGGAGGCATGCGCATGCGCCTGAATGCCTGCCGGATGTTGGAAGGAAGCTAAGCTCTCTGAGATTATTGTTGCAGCTGTCTAGTTGTAGGCTCCCGAAGTGTTCACAAGCAGTGCAACATGCTTCACGAGTCACCTTCTGGGACCACTGGAAAAGGTATTGCCACATTATTTGTCACAGAGGGGACTGCGCTGTTCAACGTTTTACCGATTGTTGCTCGTGCTCCTTTCGGTGGCTTCCGGTGAATGTTGATGTCGTTGCAGCAGCAGCGTCAGCAGCACTCGAAACAATGAAAGCACGACATGCTGGTGCTGCTGCCACCGCCGTTTTTGTGCTGCTGTTGCTGCTGCTACCAGTCGAGTCATACAGTCACACGTGCGGTTTTCAAAGCATCTCTTGGCACACCATATGGGGGTTTCCCAAAATTAGGTCTGCCTTTATAGTAGCATACTATAATCCTTTTTATAGGAGCCTCCCCAACACTACCCCTAACTATGGGAAACTACCATGTGCCTCTTGCAGAACGTGCGACGAGCCCTGGCAGAGAGCCGCGGAGGCTTCAAGGCTGCCTTGCTTCTTTACTTTGTTAAGGGTTTAGGGTTTAGGGTTCAGGGTTTAGGGTTCAGGGTTTAGGGTCTAGGGTTTAGGGGGGATAGAGCCCCCCTTAAGTAGATAGAATATGGGGGTTATATTGGGATAATGGAAAAGAAAATGGAAAGTATTATAATGGGGTTATATAGGGTTTTTAGGGTTCAGATTTTCGGGATTATACAGAGTTATAAAGGGATTATAAAGGGATATATTGTGTTGAGATTGTGGTCTTATCAGGATATACACGGACTAACTAACCCAATAATGCGGAAAAGAACCTGGAAAACGAAACGGGAACTACTATATAGGGTTTGGGATATTAGCTATAGGGATATATTATGGGCTTGCAGAGGGTTATGAAGGAGCAACAGAAGGGTGATTTACGGGAATAATCAGAACATGGAAGCTATTATGTAGGGTTTAGGGCTAGGATGGATTTAGGGATAGTACCCCGAGGATGGGGAACCTCCTTGAAAAGCAAATGGAACATAATATGAAGAATGAGGTGTATATAAGGTCTTATAGGCATTCTGTTGCCTTCGCTGTGTGAGATGTAGCGGTTCAGAAACAGGACCATGGTTTAGGAATTTGCCTAGACATGAACTTTGTGCGGTTTCTGCGCTGGAGGTCTACATATAATAGTTTCCATCAAATTTTCTATTTTGCTTTCCTTTGGATTCCCCACTATTCCCCTACACCCTAATATACCCCTATATACGGGCTCTGTGTGCATCGCTTCTTTGTTGCAGCTGTTTCAGCCCTTCTGCTGTCAAGAGGGCAGCAGAGAAGGGCTGAGCAAGGTTCTAAAGAGCACACGGCATGACATTGATTCACACAGCGGTGATTGGATTGGAGCCTGGGCCTAGGCACCCGCACCTCAAGCATTGACTGACACAGGCTGCAGTGCAGGAAAAGCGTTTACTACCCACGCCAGCCACCTCACAAAACGCCGAAGGCCCTTCCCGCATCTTCAGCATGACCCAGCTCTTGGACAAGAAGCGCAGAAACACAGCCAGAGAAACAGACTGACTGGCTCTTACCATGAAACGCGCTATCGCTCCCAAGAGTCCTTACGTACCTTCTTAGCTTCATACTGATGATTGACCGCCTGGACGACCTTCGCTCTGCGGCAGCAGCCGCGGCGCGAGGCCGGACGCGGCGCTCCTCTGGGGCGGCCTCGCCGAGGCTGCTGCGCTCCCCCGAGGCCTGGCCTGAAGGTTTGCAGGTTTTCAGGGTTTCAACAATTTGGGGCCGCTTTTCCGGGAGATCGTATACTTAATAAGGATGATATTGGGTTTATATTGGGGCCATCTTTTACATGTGTGGAGACGATTGTTAAGGTCTAGGGTGGCTTGCCTAACACGCGGGGTACTTTGTTGAAGTGACTCGGTCGAGCTTCTAGGGGCTATGTGGGTTCATGGGGTAAGCCCACTGCTCTAGGAAGCTAGAGAGAGACTGCGTGAGAAAGAGTGAAAGAGCGAGGGGTGTGTGATTTCATGATTTTAAGATGTGGTCAAAGTCTTGCAGCGAGCCTTCGGTTCAGGACTTTGCGCAAACTGTATGGGAAGCGTCTTCATACTTATTTTTTCAAGATTGCATACGACCCTAGCAAGAGATTCTTTCATCTTGCCCTCTCCACGCGTGGAACCAGGCGCCCATAGCATGAGGCCACCCATAACTTTCCCCAAGAGGCATCACCGCCGCCAACGCCTCAGTCGCTTGGTGGCATTAGTGGAGCTTTGCCTGGCTACGTGCTAACAGGGCATATTAGGGACTGAATGAATCCGAGAGAGAGAGAGGGTAAGAAGTATTCCTGGCGCACTGCATGTTCCCCAGTCGCGCTTGTCTAGGAGACGGTCCTTTTCCTTGTGGTGTTTTCTGCGAGGCTTTTGCCCAACAGGGACCAGGGGGTGATCCCGGGGGAGAGCAATATGCTCTCCACCCGAAAGCAGGAACAGAGAAGAAATACAAAAATGCAGGATACAGTAGGAGCAGTACTTCATTCTTGATGAGAGCTGAGCTCAGAGTATCCGTGTTCGGAACGACAGTTGTGGAGGGATACTGCAGAGATTTCTGTATATCTTCGACAGTACCCTTAATTTAGGGTGAAAGGAATGTAGCTAGAATTGGTGCCTGGCCTGCAGATGTGACTGAGTATACAGGCCCCACCAAGCCCATGACCACTCAGCAGATCTTCACCTAGATGGGCCAAAAAGGCAACTAAAAAATGAAATTGGATCTGCTATCTATGACCGTTTCGGATTCATGGCAATCTAAACTGCCACAAATCCCACCACAACCCTCTGCCTGACCCCACCAAGTCTCACTACATTCCCGCTAAATGCCCAACTTAGAGCCTTAAATGTTTTTTTCCCAATCTGTCTTGATAGGCCCTCCGAAGCG